ACAGTGTTCAGCATGGATCATGTCTCATCATAAAGCCAAAATCCTTCATTTTTTTAATTCCAGATTTCTATTTCAGTTTGGAGTTTTCAGTGCTGGTTATTCTCAGCTGAAGATATTTCTCCTTTTCTCCTCTCTCTCTTGCTTGCCTGACAGATGAAAACAGCTGAGGGAATAGTTTTCAACCTCATGATTAATGCTCAAAATTAATGTTCTCAGCAGTTTGGCCTCATAAAAACATATACTGCTCTTCTCTCTCCGGCTGTCTCAAACCCGAGACCATGTAGATGAGGACAAACAGCCTAAAACCTCACCTAGAGGAGCCACAGAGAGCATGCAAAGGCACAGAAATCCAAACCCCAAACCAGATGCCAGGAGGTGTCGGTGCTGACCCATGAAGACCCTGTGTGTGGCAGTGTGGACTGCGGGCCGTAGGATTTCCCTGTGGGGTCTGTTTGTCCAAGAAACAAAAAGTTAACATTTTAATGTGCTTTACTACAGAGGTTCAAATCCCTCAGGTTTTAGCAATGGCTCATTCTCCAGAAGTAGATTTCTACATCTTTCTTTCAAGGCACTTCTGGGTAGACGCAAACCATCATCTTTTTGGTTTGCGGTACCCACGTAACTCTCAAGTGTGGGAAGTCGAACATAAAATTTAATATTAATAAATTAATATTTGTAGAACAGGACTAACCTTGGGGATTGGGGGAGACTGAGAAAGATGGGTTCATTAATGTATACTGCATTGAAACAGATGAAGGAGAAAACGGTTTAAAAGGGATATGTGATTAGGTATTTTTGTCATGACAGGAGTCCAGAGCGAAGGCTGCATAGTGGAGTGGACCTGGGGGGAGGGACTGTAAAACAATGAAAGAATTTTTCTTTTACTTTTCCAAGAGGGTAGTGTACTAGGGGGGAGGGCTGGGAGGGGAGAAAAGTGCAACAGTGAATGAATGTAAATCCAAAGTCTCTGTAAATTTTCATTGAAATTAATAATAAATTTAAAAAAATAAAACACACACACACAAATTTATTATTAATAATAAACCAAATGCTATATCAGGATATGAGGAAGGCTTAATACAAGCTAGAATTCACCTTGTGGCACTAAGGTATTCCTTAAGAGTCAACAGTGTTCTTAGTTTTATTTACTGAATCCCTCCCTGAGATAAGCATAAACAATAGAGAGGAACTTGGCCTTATCTGCAAAAGACTTCTCCACGATCCCTTGTTTGTGCTTCGTACTCCCTTATGATTTTCCTTTGTTTACCTTCCATATGATTCTCAATAAATACTCAGAGAGGCATGGCTTGATGCCTTCAGTCATGGAATGGCCAGCCCTTGTTTTTTACGCTCTCTATTCTACCTCATTGCTAGTAGTCTGTCTCATTATTAATAATTATAAAAATACTTTACCCTTGATCGGCAACACTCAAGTACCTAGAGACCCAAGCTTCTTAGAAGTCACCAGAGCAGGTGGGAGAGATGAGAGTCGCTGCTTAAATGGCACCATGTTCCTTTTACAGGGGATGGGGAATGCTAAACATGGATAATGTTGAGGGCTGTACAACACAGAGAACAAAATTAATGCCACTGAGCTGTGTACACACCAAACAGCTAAAGTGAAAAAGAAAAAAAACAAAAGAAACAAACAAACAGCTAAAGTGGAAGCAGCTTTGTTAGTTATGCTTCCCCACAACCAAAACAAGGAAAAAAAAAATACTTAGACATTATACAGACATGTGCATTTCACACCTGCCTCCTACCTTGACGTCAACTGTTCTGCCTTTTGGAAATGATTCGTTTCTCTCGGGTGAGATGTTATACGTTCTTCTTCCAAATACCCAAGAATCAGAGTCGATTATTATTCAAGTGACCTAATTTCTTAATCACTTCTGGTGCAATAATGATTTCCTGGAGTTTCACACCCCAGGAAAGCTGTACTCCCAACTCCTGGCATCCTCTGAGATTAGTGGTGCTTAAAATAAAAAGGAGGCACGTCTTAGGACATAGGTTCTTTCATTTTAAATTTGATTTTTTTTGCCTTTCAGTAAAGTAAGGACAAAAAAAAAAGTTCTCATTTCCAAACGCAGTAACGTGGCTGTGTGGGTGTCTCTCTCTATGTCTCTCTCTCTCCCTCCCTCCCTCCCTCCCTCCACATAGTCAAGCCCCTGCTCTGAGGAGCCTGGGACAGCGCAGGGGGGGCTGAGAATGTGCTGAGGGTCATGAGAGGAATGGGCAGTAAATCCTCACATGAATTTACAATGACTGCAATGTACTTCATGGTAAACACCTCATCCAATATATAAGACAGTTATCTCCATGTAACTTTAAAATTTGGAAAAAGCAACAACACAAGCAATGCGTCAGACTTGTTGTAAAGTCCAAAAACACAGATAATCAAAGAACAGTAAGTAATGATAACCTAAAATCTGACTCTCTAAAGACATTTCCCCCAGATCTTCTTCCCAACTCTCTCCTGCAGAGACAAAAGTCCTTTCTGTGACTACAATGTAACAGTGTCAGGTTCTGGGTGCTGCCTGAGTACTTTAATTGCATCGTTCTGTCTGATTCTTATAATAGATCAGGAAACAGAAATTATTGTTGTTGCTCACATCTTACAAATAAAGAAAAGCAGCACATGAGAGCTGGGGACAAGCCGTCTGGCCTAGATTTTATCAAAACAATAGCTAAGGGACAGACAGGTCACAACACCGCGCCCAGCGCTCAGATCCAGGCCGCCTGCACCCACTCCACATCAGACGGCGGGCACCCTTACCTCAGCACGTTCAGATCTTCATGACGGGTCTGCATCATTTTAAATGATTCCATAACATTCTGCTGAATGAATGCATCATAACGGAATCAATTCCTTTCTGAGAGAACAATTAAGGTTTTGTCTCCTTTCCTGGCGACGTGGAATGGGGCAGGGTTTCACTCTGTGTGATGCACAGAGTGCATAAACGGAGTGGTAACCGGGAATCATACCCAACTAGGCACCTAACAACAGCCATCAATTGAGGGCCCTGGCGGCTCAATGGTTAGGTTACAGTCAAGAAAGCCCTAAGTGGTGGTTCTGCTCTGTCGCATGGGGTCCTCGGGACACTCTCTCGCAATTGGATGGTGCCCAAGAACAACAATGACCAAAGGGCCAATGGTGGGCCCGGTGACAGTCCTCCTCTTCCACAACAGAGAACTAGGATGGATTTGCAGCCAATGCCGCACACAACCATCACCCAGCTCTCCACAGGGCTCGTGCTCTTATGAAGCAGAACAGGCTACAGAGAAACTTGTAGACTAAGACTAGGAAGAAAGGTCTGGATATCTTCTTCAGAAAAAGCAGCCAATGGAAATTCTATGGATCATCACGTTGGGCCCGCATGAGTTGGTGGCTAGCTTGATGGTAGAGGACAGTAACACCCAGGATGGGCAAACGTGGCTCTGTGAGAATCTCTACAAAACTAAACTCTTAAAAGCAGGATTGCTTAGTCAGAGTCACACCCTTTTTCTTTCCTTCAGGATTTCCAATAAGCGTCAACAGATTCCAGGAAAAGGGAGATGTACGTGAGTTTTGCTTTGTCCTATGTACCCCAGTGTTAAAGCAACTCTCTTTTTCTCTTCCCCATATAATAAATTATTGACCGGCCAAGAGAAGAGAAAGGAAGAAAGCTGCATCCACCACAGCGATCCCATTTTTAACTGCTGTTCTCCTGAAATAATTTCTCAGTCTCAAAGAAGGACATAAAGCCCATTTCTGTGATGATCTGATATCAAGTTCATTCCTGGCAATGTTTCCTTTAGAAAAAAAGAAAAAGGAGACTCTCATAAAAGCAACTGAATGTCTAAGTTTTACTTTCCTCTTGAGAAATGGAGAGAATATCGCCTGTTCTACCAGCTTTCCTGGATTATGAAGAAGGCACGCGTCAAGGTAAGGAAGGAGGCAGTAAAGCTGGCTGGCCCCAGCGGCAGGCTCCAGAGCCGGGTCCACTCAGCCCCACTTTCCTGCTGTGTGACCTTGCACAGGGATTTGGCCTGTCTGGGCCTCAACACCCACTTCCAGCATTGTGGGAAGATGAAGCAAGACAACGTGGGAGAGGCAGTTACCACATTACTGAACCTTCCAAAAGGGCCGGCTAGCACCAACATTTCTGTGAGTGTTACGAACCAAAACATGCCGTTGAGTCAACTCTACCCCATGGATACCCCACATATGTCAGAGAACTATGCTCCCCTGGTTTTTACCAGCTGATTCTAGGGAGGTCAATACTCAGGACTTTCTTCTGAGGCACCTCTGTTGTTGCTGTTGTTAGGTGCCAGCGAGTCGAGTACAATTCACAGCGACCCTCAGAACAACAGCCCTGAATCCTGTCCTCTCCTGTGTCATTTTCATCATCCCTGACACACTTATGCCCACAGTCACAGTCAGAAAGGGACATCATGCTTTGAGTGCGCCTGGAGAGGGTGAAACCAGGCTGCTCCTTGGAAGCAGGGATTGTGAAACTCCATCTGACAAACTCTGGGCATGGTGCCAGGAGGGACCAGTCCTTGAAGAGGGACATCATACTTGGGAGGGTGAGAAACAAGCACAAGCCAGGAAGACCCTGGATGAGATGGACTGACTCGGTGACTGGAGTAATAGTGGTAGGTGTATCAGAGACAATGAAAGTGGCTCAAGATAGAGTAGAGAGCAGAGCTGTCGTACACAGGGTCGCCATAAGTTGCCGATGATTCAACAGCACATAACAACAACAACAACAACAACAGAGCTGCCTCTGCAGTTGCTGTGTCAATGAGATGTATTGCACAGGCACCTCTAAGTGCTTTCAGACCACCAGTCTTTGGGTTTGCAGCCTCCCTGTCCCACTCAAGGAATCCACTGTTCATGGAAGAGCCTTGTTGATGTTAGAGGGCACATAATGCAGGGCCGTTACAACAGCGTGAGAGCGGCACCCAGCACTCGTCCTAGGCAATGACCCTCCACACCCAAGCTCCCCGGCGGTTACCTCGGGCGCATGGTAGGAGATGCACTGGAAGATCCAGTCCATGGCGGGCGAGTACAAGGGCAGGTAGGACGGGAGCTCCACTCCCTGCAGCACCAGCTGGTTCTGGACCGTGTCCCCGTGGATCTGGAGGAGGTCAAGCCCACACTTAGAAAGGGAAGGGCGATCACACAACAATGCCAGACAGAGCAGCGAGCACTTGTGCGCACCTCAACGCCCCCGGGCAAGAGCCGATTTCTCAGCTGCTGAGTTTCTCTTTAACTACAAAAACCACCCAGAAAGTTCACCAAGCTGAGTCGCTTGGGGAGTCTGTGCAGTGTAACCCGATAAAAATGGAGCGAGCAGATGCGAGGAAGAAAGGCGGATCAAGTGTAGACACTTCCTGTTAACGCATGCATATTAATTCTCTCTGCCTGCTCAGTACAATCAACACATTTTAATTGTTGACAGCAGCTAGCGTTTACACATTTGGAGGGCGTTAAAGGCATTCGCAACTTGGAAACCAGCGAGGCTCAGTGAGGACGTTAGCATAGAACCAGTCGACCCAGGAGTGGGTCTTACAATGTTCTCCTACCTGTTTAAATGTCAGGAGGAAGTCAAAGAAGTTCTTATTCAGGCTTTCTTTCAGATGGGGAGCCACTTCCATGCCCACCTGCAGCCAAACCAAAAAAAAATGACAGTGATGTGAAATAATATGTACAGCGTGATACGGTTTTGCATGTGTGTGTATCCACATACATGCATACATTGTTATTATGTGCTGCTGAGTGGGAACCAACTCCCTGCTGACCAGTGGGGTCAGCGGGTTTACAGAGACAATAAATTGAATGGGAGAAGATTACCCATCTTCCTCCTTCAGAGCAGCTGATAGATTTGAACTGCATGCCTTTGAATTGGCAGCACAGCTCCTTACCCAGAAGGCTACCACTTGTGTGGGTGTATACGCATGCATGCTATTGACTATGACACACAGTAACTCTATGAAAATCAAATCTGAGCCGTGCCCTATCCTGCACCATGCTCATCACCTCCGATAGCCCCAAGCCCACTGTTACAGTCACTGTGTCAATGCATTTCACTGAAGCGCCTCCTCTCTTTCTCTGACCCCTCTCAGGTTTCCCAGCAAGCCAGCTTTTTCCAAGGAGTGGCCCTGCCTGTGAACATGCACCAAGTTCTGTGAGACAAAGTCACCATGCTTGCCTCTAGGGAGCACTCTGTCTGTACCTTCTCCAAAACAGATTTGTTATGGAAAGAAACACAGGAATACAGAAAGAGAATTTTTACTTTCTGCATATCTGCCTTCTGATGCAATAAACGTATACTGCTTCTATCCCAACAACCAGAGCTCTAAAATGAAAATAAACAGGAAACACAAAACGGGCAGCATTTACAGGAGTCATCTTTGTAATCAGCCAGAGGTAGCAACAGTACTTCTGAACAGATGACCAAGAGAACAAATCAATACAAGAGGAAGGAGGAATGTGCTCTCCCCGGGCTGTGTACACGACAGTCCCTCTCAGTCTATGAAGCCAGAAACGCACATGCGGTTAAATTTTTAGATGAGCAAAACGCTTGTGGTATGTTAAGAATAGGCTGAGCTCTCAGATATCCTGCTACCACGGCTGTGCTATTAAAAGTTCCATGGGCTCATCCTTTGCTGACCGGTCATGGAAATGTATACGTATTATCAAGGCAAACCTGAAGCATATCAGTGCTCTCATCCACTGGTTCTTGCATTCAAGATCCAGAGTATAAACTGTTCGTGGAAGACAGGCAATGTTTAAGCCCTCAACTATTAGCCAACAGGACAGTGGTTCAGACCCACCAAGTGTTCCAGGAAAGAAAAGGCCTGGCAATCGGCTCCCATAAAGACTGCAGCCTAGGGAGTTCTCGGGGGGCAGTTCTACTCTGTCTGGCAGGGTACCTAAAAGAACAAGAGGCCACCCCACAGAAAAGGTGGGCACAATACTGGGAACTGATGGGAAAGCACAAGCTTTTGGAGGGGAGTTCATACATTTAGAACAAGCCACCCTGACTCTCCTGCAGCTGAGCTCCCGGGTACATCCTGGGTCCACGTGGCCCTTTCACCAACGCAACACAACGCGTGATTTGATGCGGGTTTTCTGCTTAGTCTTTGGTAACTGATTAGGTAGAACAACGACAACATGATGTGTCTGTGGCCCCCGAAGGGGACTTACAGCTGGCTAATAATCTAAATAAGGTTCATGAAGGAGGTTGAACCAGCTCTAACTCATAGTGGCCCAATGCACAGCAGATCTGAACCTGTGAGTCCAGCTCCCACCTGGTTCTGACTTGAATGCAAGGAGTTGAACTGAGCTGTAAAATGAAAGATCCAGTGTGAAAAGCAATGTATAGAAACTTTGTAAATAAACCAGTATAAAATAAAAAATTTTTTAAAAAGACATTTTTAAAAAAATGGCAGAACCAAAAGAGCTTTTTTATGAGTCTTCAAAATGACATCTTTGTCTTTTAATTTTTTCCTTTTTTTATTTATTCATTGTTGTACATTTTCTGTCCTCCTTCTCTCCCCTTCCACTAGCCCCCAACCACAATGCCGCCCGATTCCAAACTGTTCCCATACAGCTCTGTAGCTGCTGGTAAAGAAGTTTCAAGGACAAGAACACAGATTAAAAAGCTACCCACAACAACCTTCCGGCCCACTCGCACTGTGTGCTGGTTCTATTGTCTCTCTTCCACTTAATCATATCTTAGAAAAGGCAATAATTATCTGTTAGGCAGCAGCAATGAGAGACCCAGTGGACAAGCAGGGGAGATGCACTGAGGGGGCCTTGACTTAAGAGTTAATCATACTTTCCTTTAATAAACAGCTTCGAAGTCCCCCCACGCCCTACCCACTCGCTGCCTTTGTGTTTTGTTTATCTCTCCCCATCAAGCCAAATGAGCAGCTTGGAAATCTGTTTTGGGTCTTCACGATTTCTACCCCGAGTGGCAAGCAGGATTCGCTCACCATTTCCATCTGCTCTTTCTGCCTGCCTGCCATGCATTCATTCCCATTGTTCCCCAAACCTTCCTCTTAGACCATGAGGCCTTTGATAACACTGGAATCATCCACTCGGTGGGCACATGACCCAGGGGTGAGAAATGGCACAGGTCTCATCAATTCCACGACACCCCATGGCTTCAGAGACCAGGCTAGGGATGGGCAAGGGAGGCCATGTCGTCCCCTGAGAACCAGCCCTGACAATGGGGGTTGGAATGATGAACTGGAGAAAAGGTGCTCTCCCCGCCACTGGGGTTGCTAAATTGATGGGACGTTAAGCATGGAGCTGCTGTGAACCACCACGTGGAAAGAGCAAGTCACAGGATGAAATCAAGCAAGAGGCAAGCCCAGCTGAGCAACGGAGAATGGGGGTGACTCTCAGTAACACCCTGAGGCCCTGTATCTATCCTCACCTGCACCACCCCTGGATTCTTCAAACACATCAACTACCCATTCACGGCCATTGAGCCAAAACTGACTCGTAGCTGACCTCCAGTGGGTTTGGGGAAGTTATATATCACATAGAGAGAGAGGCGACTGTCCATGTTTCTCCAGAATCTGGTGGATTTGAACAACCAGTGAGGTGTCATCTCTGAGTGAGCACGCAACTCCCGACAGACTATGCTGAAAGAGCCAATAATCCCTGCCTTTTCTCCCTCTGCACAAAATACTGAGCACTGGGGTTTCGCCACCTGAAACTGAAAGATGCTTTCTTTCCGAACTCACAGGATTGCAAGAGCCAGAATCCCTTCTTTTTGAAGTGTCAAAAAGACTCTTCCTCACTACCCTACGAGAATAGCTGCATTACATGAACCAACAACAGTGATTTCAGCAGACAGAGCTCTGCCTGTAGCACGTCTTCTGGGATGACGTCTACTTTGTCCCTGTGTTTTAAAGCTGCACTTGCCTCTTAAAGGCACTTAACATACAATGGATCTTGCCTTTTCCCTAGCTCAGGGACCTTACTTTAAAACCCTTTGAACTAAACAGGTTTGCAAAGAACGGACTTTCCTGCCCCCATTTCTCCTTTACACAGCCACAATCATATTCATATAACACAAAACCCAAAACTCACTGGCATTAAGGAGGAACAGATTCGGAGTTGATCTGCCAGCAAGTTTTCAGAGGCTGTAAATTGCATGGGAGGAGACTGTCCATTATTTCTCCCATGGAGCTGCTGGTGGATTCGAACCATCAAAGATGTACCACCTTTGGGTTAGAACGGATTCTACTCTACCAGGATAAAGATAACAGTGGCAGCCCAGTAGACTCAAATATCCAACCTTTCGAATAGCAGTTAACTGCCTGTGTCACACAGGAACTCCAAAGGTGGGGTAAGAACCCCTCAAAGGGAAGGGTGCTGTGGGGACTAGTGAGGAGAATACCCCCTGAATCAACACAGGAAAGCTAGCAGAGACAAAGAGAAGGAAAAGGCTGTACTCTCAAGGGAGTGCACTTTTCATACTAAAACTTACGACTTGTCTGTGGGAGGTTCAGGGAGCTTTTAAAGGAAAAAGGCCGAGTGATTTCTGAGTAGCACCGTGCCCGGATCAGACAGGCGGACGGCCAGAAAGCTGCAGTGCAATGAACGTGGAGCCTGTAAGCCCCACAACACCTCTCCTTCGTCAGCCCTCACGCTTGGTGTTTGGGGACGAAGCGCTAACAACACAGACAAACCCGGACACTGGGAAAGCAGGCCTGCAGTCCGTGAGAACCAGCCTCTCCACTGGAGGGCCCTGGGAGCCCCGACTGGTTCTTCTTCCCCACAGAGAACCGTGAAACAATTAATTCTGAAAACCAGTTCATTTGTCAGAAGATGACCTTAAACAGTCCCCCCTAATTAGGCTGAGTTGGTCTACTTTAAAATTAATTTAAAAAAAAAAAAAGAAATCTTCCAGTTCTACTTTCTGTGGAAGAGCCGTGCTCTAAAATTAGCAGCTAATAAAGTCCTTTTCTCAGAGACATCAGAAGGGGCTGGGAAGGAGGCTGAGTGAGTCCTGACGGAGACGGGACATGGGTCTCTGACAGGACACAGGCCTCTGACAACACATGCCCTACGATGGGACAGGGGCCTCTAATGAGTCAAGGACCTCTGACGGGACACAGGTTTCTGACAACACATGGTCTACAATGGGACAGGGGCCTCTGATGGGACAAGGGCCTCTGAATGGATAGCAGCTTCTGACAGGAAATGAACCTCTGATGGGACATGCCCTCTGACATGACAGGAGCCTCTGACAGAACATGGACCTCTGAGGGGCACACGTCTCAGATGGGCCTGGGGCCTCTGATGAGATATGGGCCTCTTGATAGGACAAGCTCTCTGACAGGACATGAACCTCTGAGGGGATACAGGTCTCTAACTTTGATGACACATGCTTTCTAATGGAAAACAGTTCTCTGACAGGACATGGGCTCTGACAGGACATAGGCTTCTAATGCAATAGGGGTTTCTGACAGAACAAGCCCTGACAAGACATGAGAGAACATGAGCCTCTGGCAGGACATGGGCCTTTGATGGGATACAGGTCTCTGATGGGACATGCCCTCTGACAGGACAGGACATGCCCTCTGATGGGACACAGCCTTCTGAGGGGATATGGGTCTCTGACTTTGATGAGACATGTCCTCTAATAGGACAGGGGGCCACTGACAGGACACGGACCTCTGACATCCGGATCCTACAGGGACTTACCCTACACAGGTAGGCCCTGGCGTACACAGACACCAGTGGGTCTCCAATCCCTCGAATCATGCAGGTTAGTCTCGGGAGACATTCTGAAATCCCCCTGTTGGGACAGAGAAAGGGCAGCATCACCAGATGTTAGAATCCATTGCGCTTTCATTTTCTTTTTTTTCAGTAGTGATCAAGCTGAACTTCTGCCACTTAGAGAAAAAAGAAATGCAACGTCAGAACTACCCAAAACCTGCCTTTCTCGGCAGTTTGTGCATTTAATGACTCATCTGCACATCTGCTCAGTGCTGTGGGCCAACCTGTCCTCTCTGCCTCCCTGCGGTCTCGTTTGTCTTAACAATCCCAACCGTCTTTGTCCTCCAACCATGTCCCAGTTAACTCAGCATCTCTTGAACCTCTCTCAGAGTGTTCTCATTTTCTGTGTGCCTCTGATGCTGATTTATGGTCCTTTTCATCAGCCCTCCATCAGGCTGGTAAACCCCCACGCCAGCATAAACGATGAGTGTGAGTCCTGACTTACTTCGCTATGAGAGACATGCCTGTGGATATCCACCCCACACGACCAGCTGGGGAGGCAAAACAACTGTTTCGGGAATGACGCCATCCCCTAATCTATACAAGGCAGCCCTTCGCCTGGAGTTAATGCATTTGCAGTAAATTCGAAATCAAATCCAACTATGTTCTCTGTGGTGTCCATCTCTGGCTTCCAGAAGTTTATCATCTTGTCACCCATCAGGACTTGGAATTTTCCTGGCTCTGTAGAAAGTAGATGTAGTATGACCCGATTCTATCACTTTCTAGAACAACCCAGAGTGGACCGGGGGTCAGATGACCTCAGCATCATCATTTTTATCATCTTCAGGAGGAGCAGCTAACCCCAGTGTACAGTCTCAAGGCAGCCTCTGAAGCTCAGTGGAGGTCCCCCTCCACTTCTCAGCATCACACTCTCAAAGGAGGAGCCCAAGGCAAAGTCGAGTGAAATCCCCAGCTCACCACTGTGCAGCAGGTAAGAGGCAGAGTCAGGTTCAAGGCTGGCCACCTGAGCTGCTTCACCTCTCCAAGCTGGGCCTTTCTTCTCAGTTACATGGTGGTAAAGAGGTTGTCTCTACTTGATTTCGTTTCCACAATCATTTAAATGGGGAAAAAAATGCATGGAAGATGCTTAATACTACACCTGATTCACAGTAAGCACTTAGTAATTCAACCAGGAGGCTGGTCTGAGAAGAAATGCTACATCAGGATTGGAGGAAGGCTTGCCAACAACCCACGTTATGCAGATGGCATAATCTTGCACGCCAAAACGGAGGAGGATCTGAACCATTTGCTGCAGAAGGTCAAAGGCTGTAGTCTTCAATATGGATTGAAGGTCAACATCAAGAAGACAAAGATTCCCACTGCTGGGCCGATTGGCAGCATCATGATAGGTGGTGAAGAGACTGAGACTGTTAACAACTTCAACCTGCTCAGCAGGAGAGGCATCCACTTCCTAAACCACATGCCTCCGGAAACTCTGTGAACTTTGATCAACGTCGATAGTTGTAGAGGGGCTTCAGGCCTTTTGTTCACAGGGTCGCTATGAGTCGTACTCGACTCAAAAGCAATCACAACAACAACACAGATCCACAATCAACACTCTTAGCACCAACAGTCAGGAAATCAAAAGACAAATTGCACTGGGGAATTCTGCTATCAGGGACCTCTCCTGAATGCTGAAGACAACTGTGTGTGTGATCCAGGCCATGGTCTTCACAATAACTTGCTGTGTATCAGAGAGCTGAACAATGACTAAGGTTGACAGAAGAATCGACGCATTTGAATTGTGGTGCTGGAGAAGAGTACTGAACATACCATGGACTGCTAAGAGAACAAAAAGGTCTGTCTTGGAGAAGGTGAAACCAGTATGCTCCTTGGAGGTAAGGATTTTGAAACTCCATCTGACATACTTTGGGGCATGTTGCCAGAAGGGACTAGTCTCTGGAGAAGGACGTCATGCTCGGCAGGGTGGATGGAGGGAGAGCACAGGAGAGGAAGACCCTGGATGAGATAGACTGACACAGTGACTGTGGTAACGGGGGCAGGTGTGTTAGAGAAAATGAGACTGGTTCAGGACAGAGCAAGGTTCAGAGCTACTGTGCACAGGGTCGCTATGAGACACAAGAAACTCAAAAACACGTAACAACAAGAACATCATATTGCCACTACACATGCTCCTCATTCGTCAACATGGTTAGGCTCCAAAGGCCAGGTCCTTATGTGAAAATCAGCACGACCCATAAATGGAAAGACTAGGTTACAAAACGGAGGATGGTTACATCGTGGCATAACTGCCGAATCACGTCATTACATAGCTACCAAGTCTGAGAACCAGGGTCGGCTGAATTGACACATAACCTTCAACATCACAGCCAGTGTTACTTTTGTCTTGCACTTGAGTGGTATTTAATCCCAGACATGCATTGTTAATGCACGATACAGTCAGACAGCAGAAGTTTCTTCACTATCGCTGTGAATGTGAAATGACAGATAATAAAACAGTTGATAAGTGAGGATGTGGTGTATTATCTATCTGTTTATGTGCATTAGCATTGCAGAAATTATACATTTTGAGACATTTTTTAAAACGAGTCTTACGTTTTCGAGAGGAACTTGTTGCACTTCAAGATGGATGCTTCCACATAGCTACAAAAATGTTTCGTTAAGGGAGACATTTTCCACATGGTCCATCCCCTAAGGAGAAGACAGTAAACTCTGCCATCGACAGAATCGGGCACGTCTTCAAAAGGGAGGCGGCTACGACAGCCCTCAACGATGCCGAGAATTTGGTGAGCAGTGGCTTGTGGTTCAGTGTTTGTTTTTGAGGTTCCACACTTATTCAAAATAAATTCTGGGACACGTTACATGCTGCTTCATGGCTGTACTCTGAAATGCAAGCAGGACACTGCACATTTCTAATCAAGGCTTTATGGGGAAATAATGAACGATGATGAGTAACGAAGGTTTGGTTTCTGAAGCAAATTCTCTGCTCTTCTATACTGACCTGGTTCAAGAGCTTAGAATCAGAGAAAAGCTATCACTATGAAGAATTTTAATTGAGAAAGACATGGCATTACATATAAAGTTAAAAAAGAGAGAGAGAACCCATTTTGAGAATGAACACTCCCCACACTGCTGGCTCTGGGTATCCAAGTTGGTGGTTACACGGTCTAAGGGTGCTCCCAGAGTGACCCCCACGTGGCTTCAATTACCCATGCAACTCGTTCGGCCAATAAAAGGATACAATCTCGGAATGAGTTCCCGGATGGAAGCAATCTTGAAAAACCAATTGAGGCAGGTTTCTTTGGCCGTGTCATTTACATTCTCCGGAGAAAAGTGATCTGTAACACAGAGACAGTGGCCATCAGCGTACCTAATTCTCGAGATCTGTGCCAGTTGCTGGGAGGCCTGGGAACAGGAAAGCATCACCGCTGGACAGAGCAAGGAATCCGCATTCCTTGCTCAGATGGCTCTCCTTCCGAGACGGTTATGATTACCAGGAAACAATCAAGATGACAAGGACGGCTGTACTCAGTGGCTTTCTCAGCATCAGGCGCTGACCACTGCTCTTGACAGATGTTAGCTGAGCCGATCCCCAAGAGCTACAGCATGTATTTCATTACCCTCTTTTATAGAGACGGGCAGCTCAGGTGGTCTAGTGGGTAGAGAATGGGCTGACAGTGCAAAGGTGGGGGTGGTTTGAATCCACCAGTGATCCCTAGAATGAAAGATGGGCCATCTCTCTTTTCGTGTCATTTACAGCCTCTGAAAATCAACTGGATGGTCTGCTGTGGGTCAGTTCTGACTCCATGGCAATGAGTCTGAGGGGTTTTTGAGTTTATACAGGCAGAGACCAAGACATGGAGAAGCTTAGCAACCTTCCTCGGGCATAATGCAGCCCGAGATGGAATCCAACCCCAGGTAGTCTGGTTTTAGTACCTGCTGTTAACCACTGGCAGTAGTATAACCCTGAGGTTCTTGGAACATGTACAGATAAGGATTCTAATATACACAGAGAATCTTCAACCCTAACATGAAAAGTAACCGAAGCATCAACTTAACCTTCACATGAACCAAACAGAGGAAAGCAAGGCCCTGGGCTATGGAACTAGAGTCCAGTGAACAATACTGAGACTCAGACAGCAGTCACTTGGTGACAAATTGGGTCAGCTTTTCTTATTATTTGTTCTTTTTTTGTAACAGGACTGTCATTTCTCTGCTGAGCAAATGGACATCTCTGCAGCTAGGGGTAACTTTGTGACCAAGTTCTGGTGCCAGAATGGAAGCAGAAGTACAACTTTTAGGAAATGTCCTTGAAGGAAGGAAACTACTCTCCTTCACCCTCTTTCAATTCCTGCTAGCTGGAATGAGCACGTGATGGCTGGAGCTTGGCAGCCACCTTGGGCCACGAGAAAAACAAGAGCCGTCAGGGTGTATGGCATCATGACTGGCTGTTTCACCAGCTCTGAGTATTGTTATTTTGAGTTTTTGGTCATTGGCTCACTTGGTCTAATCCTGACACATACCTTAATAAGGAATAAAAAAGAATGCAGAAAAATGAAACACACCAAAATCAAGATGGCCACTTTTGAATTTTCATGTAGAAATGAAAAGTATTTCTTTTTTAAAAAAATTATTTCTTCTAACTAATTTTCTTTTAAAATATTAGAGTCAACAACTCTAGTGTCTTGGTCAGCGGGGCGATGAGCTGCTGCTCAAAAGCGTGGAGTCCATCCCACCATCTGAGTGTTTCACAACTCAACACTTCAATGTAATAAGGGGCATTTTAACTATATTTCATACAGCAAGATGAATAAACAGGTTCATCCCAGAGAGGGTGAAACCAGGCTGCTCCTTGGAGACAACGATTCTGAAGCTCAAAATACCAGCAGAATCAGCAAGAAAAAAAAAAGAAATCGTTGTAAGCACTGGAGGAGTTCAGCACAGACACTCACCCCAACTGCAGATATTTTGCTACTGCAGTCTCAAGTCTTTATCTATTTTCAGATGTCCTGGCAAACTGGATTTGCGCAAGAACCACTCACGTGCCGTTTTCAAAAGGCCAGGAAGTGATCATTCTCCTCTTCTTGGTGCAACCTTTTGGTTGGCAGCCCAGTGTTTAATCCACTGTCTCCTACCAGGTCTCCTTTTCCCACTACCCACACGAGAAACAAACCCACAGCCATGGATCTGCATGCGACTCACGGTGACCACACAGGACACGTTAGAAATGGGCACCAGACCTTCAAGCCTGTACATCTTATGATGCTGTGATCTCATCTTTATCTTGTAGGTGGTAGTGGTGGTTGTTGATGTGCTGTCAAGTCAGAACTAGCCCACAGCTGACCCTCCAGCAGGTTTTCTAAGGCAGTAAATCACACAGGAGGAAACCACACCTCTTTGTCCCATGGAGCAGCTGGCGGGTCCGAGCTACCTGTCTTTTGTCTTTAATATTCCTTTTTAAAAATTTTTTTTAAAAAATTTAAAATTTTACACACACACACACACACACACAAATAATAAAATAAAATTTAAGGGAGCTCTGGTGGCCTAGGGCAAGAAGCTGCACTGCAGTCCCAAAGGTGTGTGGTTCAAATCCACCAGATGCTCCGCTGAAGAAGGTGCAGCAGTCTCCTCTTGTACCAGTTGGATCTGATTCAACGGCACACACACACAAATTTTTTTTTTAAAAGTTAAATTTTTTTTTTAATTTCTTTACTATTTTTTTTCCTATCCTCCCTCAAACAGCCCTCTTCAAACTGCTTGTCTTTGAGATGGCAGTGTAGCTCCTTACCATGAGACCACCAGAGCGTCAACCTCATGGTTAACAGCCACTCTAGCCACAGCCCCACCAGTGATCCTGCACACCACACGACACCACCCAGGACTCCTAAAATACTCCATTTCTGTATTTCACTTGCTCTACTCAAATTTCTTAAGAATTAGGAGTACAGTTCTAGGATCTGGCGACACAGCCGTGTGTAAGACAGATGCCGTCCTCAGGAGACTTCCATTCCAGTGGGCGAAGACAAATGATCAACAGAAGAACAACAAGCAAACAAATAAGATCATGTCCAGTAGCATGCAACACTGTGAAAGATCCACAACCAGACGTCGGTGGTGGGATTACAAAATGTCAAGTCAGACTCAACTCCTAGCTGACCGTTCAGTGGGTTTTCAGAGGCTGTAAATCACACAGGAAGGAACTGGCCAACTTTCTCCCACAGGGCAGTTGATGGATTCAAACCACGAGCCTTTGGGTTGGCAGTCCAGCTCCTTACCACGAGGCTATCAGAGCTACCAGGGCTGAGGGGTGATGTTAGTGGTGGCAGGGGCTCAATAGATAGGGTGACGGTCAGGAAACGCTGCTACAGAAAGGGGCATTTTGAGCTGAGCCCTGATTTACACAAAGGAGCCAGCCATGGTTAGATGTAGAGGAAGAGTATTCCAGGAGAAGAAACAAGTGCAGACGCACTAGGGTAAGAATGACCTCAGCGTGGTCTAAGAACAACACAGCAACGTGGTGAGCAAGAAGGGGACGGTCAGGGGGTGAACGCAGGGCGGCAGCCTCAGCGAGGCTCTTGAGGGTTTTCCTAAATGCACCAGGACCCACTGAAGGGCTCTGAGCAGAAGCATGACAGGACATGACGTGGCATGATGCAATTGATACTTGAGCACCTGGGCTGCTCCGTGGGGAATAAATTCAGAATTAGGAAATCAATTCAGAAGAGACTCTGATGCAACAAAAAGCAGAGATTTCTCTCCCATTTCCTACTTCCTCTGTTTCTTCATGGTGCTTTTTTCATCCCCAACCCTAATTATTGCAGGAGAGGAGAGGAGGCCAGTGAGTCCAATTCTCTCCACTATCTTCTCCCTAGCACAAGTTTTCTTTAGATGACCATTCTAACAGGGTTGTCCTCTTGGCTCATATGTGCTTGAAAGGCCAGGTCAATAAATAAAACAAAACATACTAAACTCATTGTCACTGAGTCAATCCAACTCATGGCAAAGATTTCCAAAGCTACAAATCCCTTTGGGGGGGGGGGAATCATGAACGATAACTGAACAAGAAAAGTCAAGAGTCAAATCCCTAGAGAGACTGAACAGTGAGCCCTTTCAGAAACAAGAGAATGGATCCTTGCCAGGGCTGAGGGGCATGATACACATTCAAACTGGCAGATTCAGTTGTTCCTTTAAGCTGGGCAGTGCTGTTTCAGACTCTGCCATTCAAGATCTTTGGTTGCTGCTATGAAATGTGAATATTGCCCTTGTTCTCCGAAAGGAAGATTATGCAGAGCTCTGACCTGTAAGATTTTTCCCATTCCAAACATTATTCCCGTTCACATAATCTTTTAAAAATAGTCTCATTTTTTAATACACACTTTGAGAACATTAACTGAGGTTCAATAATATCATTAATTACAATGTCTGATCAATTCATATTGTATACTAAGGCTGTAAATCTTCATGGGCAGAGAATGCCTCATCTTTCTTGTATGGAGTGCCTGGTGAGCATCTAACTGCCAATCTGTTGGCTAGGAGTTCAACACTCAACCGACTACACCACCAGGGCTCTGCTTTCTTGAGTGCAGCCTACAGCATCCCAGGGGAAAAGGGAAGATGAAAAATGCAAGCAATTCATGGTATGAACCAAAATACATATACACTCCCGTCATTTCACCCCAAATGGAAAACAAAAATTATTTTATTATTCGGAGTGAATTACATCTTTAAATATATACCAGATCAAACAATGGTGGGAAGAAAAATTACCACATCTAGTAGTATGAACTTTTCATGAACCCAAAAGCCATTATATCTTTCCAACCTCATAAGAGCTGTACCTTTGTTAGCACTCCTGTAGGCAAAGACTTAAATATTAACATCAGTCAGGACTTAATTCAGATGGAAAGAATGAGTACAAAAGGCACCAGGATTTCTTTTGGTACATAATTTCTTCAGGCAGAATTCATTCTGCACAGATGTCAAAATGTTTCTTCTTTATTATAGTTAAGAGTCGTCCTCTATCTCAGTCGCAAAAGGACAAATATTGCATGGTGCACTGCTGTAAAATGGGACTGATATCAGGGTTGGGGTAAGACTGAGAAAAACTGGATAAATTGTGTATACTGCACTGAAACAGATGAGGGACTGAATAACTTAAAAGCGATGTATGGTAGGGTATTATGGTTATCACAAGAGTCCACAATTAAGGTTGCACAGTGGAATGTAGTTGGGGTAGTGGGAGGGGTGCGGGGGGATTGTGTACCAGGGAGGGAGTCTTTCTTTTACTTTTGAAAGAGAGGAGCAAACTGGGGGGCACTAGGGGGCAGGGTGGGGG